CGATGGGTGTACACTGCAGCAGCAGCGAATTTCGTGCGATTATTCGGAATGAAAAAATAAATAAATTTATAAACGAAAAGAGTATATTATAAATAATATAATACGGGGTGGTGTTGAAAATTAGCACTGGAAATTCCTGAACACGTCTCCGCAGAGTAGTCGACTATATACATAGTACGTGCATTATCACATATTTATGTAATATATTTACAAGTGCGTTATCCAGGCACACGAAGGTCAACATTTTGAACAGCTTGAGTGAGTACTGAAATCTCAAAAGTCCAATTARAATTGTATTCCATATATTAAGATATTAGAACCAAATTAAATAACGAAGCTTAATATCCTAGCTATAATATTACAGATCAATTGAAAATTTGAACTATTCATTTAAAATTCAATTAAAACCAAAAGAATAATAATAATGTCTGTCTCTTTGTCCCTAAATACCCCTTCATCAAAAGATTAACCTCATAGCTTTCTATTTTTGTTTCTAAGATTTATAAATATTGGCTTGATCATGATTGAAATACACAAGGTTATTGCATATTATATGGCTCTTCTCAATCAAATATTAAGTAATAAAAATAATAAATACAAAATAAAGACATTTATATAAGTATATAATTATTTTATTCCATAAAAAAATTAATTTTTAACTGTTGAAAATTTTATAATTTTATAAATATTATGTTATATATGTATATTGTCATTAAGAATTCAGATTTCAGAGTTAACMGTTTATATAATTGATAAGCGCATTTGCATTTTCTAAAAGTGGTTATAAATTATGATAGTTAAAATTTGATAATTTGTGGTACCATTGGTAYCATCATGTATAATMWTTTTTAATTGTCAACGTTATTTTGTGAACCAACGTGTATTGGGATTTGAGACATGCTCAGGATCATCGTGCCGCAATCTTTCATTCGAGATATCTACAATATGATTACAATAAATAATCTAAGATATTATACGCGTGTAATTTTTAATCGCTTTAGAACCTATTATGACAATATCATAACATCATAACATAATACTGTCGTACTAACATATTTTCACGTAAAGTACGTTTCGAATGAAATGAATCATATGCGTCGGCACTTGTTTAACGACAGTAAAATAGCCCGTGCCCGGTGCTTAGTGCTTAGTCCATTTGTTTTCCCGTGTTAACCTTTTTATACCCAATTATATAATAATACAGAACCAAACTCACGTTAGGTATTATTCCTACTTAAAGTACCTGCCTATAACTTCCACGTGCCCAGTTCCGGACGGAGGAGTACGTGCAAGCTTTTTGCCTCCGTAATATTTTTATATGTTTACAAATGTGTTCTGTAAAGAATATTATGTTTTAAATGGCTATCGAGTTACTTGCTTATAGTAAACAAGGCCGAATTTATGTACTCTAGTGACATGATGAGATCGAAAACAACTTAAAATGTGAATAAAATATTCAGAGAATTACTTATAGGCATTTCGGGGCCCGGAGCTAATGTTTTGTTGGGGCCCCTCAACTTCAATTATGTAATCAGTATTTATATATATATATATATATATATATATTTATTACATAAGTCTTCGAGTAATTATTTAAATACAATTTTTAGTATGAACAAAACGTACATGACTGTGTATTTAATAGTATTCCGGGCTCTCTTAAGTAGGGCTGGCTCTCAAAATATTGTACATTAGGTATTMAACGACAACGATAGGATAAAAAGAATTAGTTTCTTGGTAACTCATCTACCGGTAGGTATATTTTAACTATAGTAATATTATTTTATGCTATTCCTGAKATTTCATATCTTAAGCGTATATGCAACTGGCAACACTGAGCAGTCTTGTCTAATTTTATTTACGAAAAAAAAGCTGCAATACATATTATATATTATTACATAGGCGTAACTTGGGCTCTTTTCACGTGGGGGCAAAAACAATTTTTTTGCAAACCTCTACACATTTTCATTTCAGAAGTTAAAAAAAAGTTGTAAAAACGTCTATCATAGTTCTATATATTCTATACGAATAACCGAACCGAACCTATGACATATTCTATACGACCGTTATCAGTTATCGCTTTAAAATTCTTACATGTGCCATAGAGTAATATTACTCTATGACATGTGCAAATGTGCAATGATGATGTGAATAACTGATAAGATAGTGAACATCATAGTGTAACCACATATTAAGTATATATCACTAAACTATTATAGACTATATTATTATATAGTATATGTGATTGTAGCCAAAGAACCTTTACATACCAGCTGCTATTATATACGTCATTTTAGGTATTATTATTTATTATAGGCCTCAGAACAGCCTGAAATTAACTAATATTATAGTTCAGTTTGTGKGRGCAATGCCCCCACCAATTTTAGGCTGTGGGGGCAATTGCCCCCATTCGCCCCCGCCAAGTTACGCCTATGTAATTATTATATTTATAGTCGTTTTGGACTCAATCACCGCTGTGTGCCCGCGAGTATGAGATTGTACATCAATCGAGGTGGGCTGCACTGCTGCAGTGTTCACGTGAGGAAATATGAATATCGTACGATTTTTAGTTTCAATGAGTCATTGCAGACTTTTCAAAAACGTGCACGATTTTTTCGGTTAACGCTTTTTCTGGTTGTATTAAAAAAATCAGCTTGCAATGTTTCTGGTGGCGATTGCAACTGTAGATTGGACATTTAACACACTACGTTTATTACTTTATTATTTGTGACCACTCTGTTTTTATTAGTTTTAAATAACACGATAGACATCTAAAGTCATGGAGGCGTCATACATTATGTATTCTGTTGGTTTTATGGTTTTGTATATCATATATACTCACTTCCGCGAGTAAATTATTAAAAAACAAAAAAATCCTTAACAGTTTTTGTGTAGGTAGGTACTCGGTAAAAATATGTAGTGTTTCTACGGAACACTTCAAACTATATAWAAACAATTTTTTTTTAAATCACAAAAATTGACTTGACAAATAAGTCAAGTGGAACCAGCTAAATTCATCTCACTCAATATGCATGATTGTGTATAATATGTGGTGAACTTCTAACAATATGCCAGATGAAAAAGGCCCAAATGGAAATAATTTAATCTCCATTTGAAAAAATCAACCACACAATATAATATAATGTTTGAATAGTATAATCTKCTTTCTATATGCATAACGTTATTTATAGGTAAAGAAAGAAATAAAATAAAATAATACATCTTCCGTAYTTAGCTTTTGGAATGAAATACAACATAAACATTTAAATATGATAATAATCGTATTAGGTACGTAAATATTATTATGATTTTTCAAYTATATGTATAAAAAGGTTTTGTAGATTTATATTTTCTACATATTTTAAAACAATATTGACATAATAAAAACGTGCTTAAATATTTTTCTTTTACATATGGGAGAGTGTAGAGCTTTGAAATTACGGATAAAAATTGAGAGCCTAAGTTAGCAGACTGAAAAAACAATATTGCAAAACATTAAAAAGTATTTAAATCTTATAATAGTTATAATAGATGTATATTGTACATATTAATCATTTTAAATCATAGAAATTAAATTTTAAGATGCRAAAAAGGGGTGAGTTTTGTGTTGACCCGTGGTGGTGACGATTGTAGTGAGCGGAAAGGGGGGAAATTTCATAGTTCAATAATGTAATATACGAAATTGGATGAAAAAAATTATTGAAATCTGATAATCAGACGCAGTGAAGAGCATTTTTTTTTTAGTTTGGACTTAGGTTAGGTTTATTTTCTCGACATTATTACAATGAGCAGCATATTATGCACTTCCATTATTATTACTATTATTATTATTATTGAAAAATATTAACAWTACAAACCTTGAATTAGTGCTAAATTATTGTGTGTTTGCGTGCTTACAGAAACAGTTTACGGACTCGCAAGCACAGCGTGTGCATAGAACCGGACCTGTCACGGCGCAACTCAAACGCCATTTTCTCGGCGCTGCTGTTCCGAGAAGAGAGCCGGGCCATGAAGACGTCCATGATGGTGCTGTCCACGTACCTGTTCAGCTGGACGCCGCTGTTCGTACACGTGTCAATCGTCCAACTTCCGGACGAGGTGGTTTACACGTGCGCTCTGTCCGCGGCCACGCTCAACCCGCTCGTGTACGTGTTCCGGAACGACGCGTTCCGGAAGGAAATGCTACGCGTGGTGTGCAGCCGCAAACGGTTGCGCGAGTCGGCCGCTGCYAAAGCGGCCACCGGCCACCAACAGCACCGGCTCATGACGTCCCATCAGGCCGACAGCGTGTCGGTACACAGTTTCCGCATGTCGTCAGTCGAGTGCCAACACTCGTTCGACTCGGTCACGCCACCGCCTGCTGACTTTGTCGCCACATACAACCCGGTAAGTCAACGACATCTTATGCTTAAGCATATGGCTAGCTAGGAAAAATTGTCTGGGGGGAAGGGAATAAATTTCATCAACAGCACAAACCTTGATAAAATTGATATTTTTAACTAAAATATGATTGAAAAACTGGTGGGCTAACCCCCTCTCCCCAATAACCCTAATTTCACCTATGACGTATGAGTT